AGCTCACCCCCTCCCGCGGCCCGCCCGGCCAAATTGACGGCAAGACGTCAAACCCTGCATCAAAATGATTTGGAATCCGCAACAGGCCGCCTGCCGCGGCTCGATCGATTTCAAAAGGTCGATCGGCAGTCACAGCCAGTGCCGCGGCGCTCAGACGATGGTCGACGCAGTGATGCTGACGATATACTCGCATGCTGGATCCGTACGTCACCAGCAGCACCGCTGTGGAAAAGAAAGCATGAGCTCGCTGGCGCACTTCCCGTGACTCACCACCGACAATTTCCTGCTACTCACGTCGAGAGTGGAAGGGTGCGGGCAAGCATCATCCGCACGCACGAGGCGAGAAGCGTGGCCTTTTTGTGGATGACATTCTGATTGATTCACGATTGACTCGATCGACAAGTGGGAGCGCGGCTTGACTAAACGCACTTAAACGCACTTATAAAGAGGTCGGCACATTCACTCGTACTCCCACCAGCAGCATCTGTGACGCTACATCTTCCAGGGCTGCCATCATTGCAGTATCCCTCACTAACACCACCCGTCACCCATCATGTCGTCTGCCGCTTCCACCTCAAACCCCTCCCTGCCTCCGCCGTCGCGCTTCGGCGAGACAGCGGCAGGGTCGATCATCTACCTCCTCTCTGGCAAGAAGCTCTTGCGCGCACCAGAAGAGAAGCAAGGCTATGTCGTGCCCGAAAAGTACAAAGTGGGCGCTCCTACAGTAGCAGATGAGCGAGCGAAAGAGAAGCTGTCAACGGGCCAAACAAGTCCTGCAGCCGTATCCAACCATAGCGAAAGTGGGACACTGAATGGAGGTGCAGCCCCTGCAGAGCAACCGAAGCCCGCCGACGTTGAGAAGGCGGCGTTAGCAGCCAAGGAGGATCGAGCCAAGCAGCCAGGCGATCAGAGCGAGGAGAAGCAGGGTGCAGACGTTGGTCAGCTGCACAATGGCGGTGATTACACCCTCGTCACTTGGTACTCGGACAGCGATTCTGAAAACCCACGCAACTGGCCGCTGCCCTACAAAATCTGGGTCACTGCTCAGATCTGCATGGCCACGACTGCCATCTACATGGGGTCCGCCATCATCTCGCCGGTGACCGAGGACCTCATGACGGATCTCAATTGCGGTCGGACAGCCGCTTCTCTGACCATCACTCTATTCGTTTGGGGTTACGGTATCGGTCCCTTGTTCCTCAGTCCCATGTCGGAAATCCCAGCCATCGGTCGCACTTGGCCCTACATCATCAGCATTGGCCTCTTCGTCCTGCTCCAATTCCCTTCCATCTACAACTCCTCCCTGGGCGCGTTGTTGCCGCTGCGATTTGCCGCTGGCTTTGTCGGAAGTCCTGTGTTGGCAACAGGTGGAGCAACAGTCGGCGATATCTGGGACATGGAATCATTTTCCATCGCGCTAGGTCTTTGGGGTCTGTCCGCTGCGTCTGGTCCAGCCCTCGGTCCATTGATTGGTGGATGGGCCGGACAAGCAAACGGCTGGCGATGGTGTCTGTGGCCTCTGCTTTGGGCAACAGGCGGCGTTTGGCTCATCATGTTCTTTCAACTCCCCGAGACGAACCACTCCACCATTCTTTCTCGAAGAGCTGCTCGCCTGCGCCGAGTGACTGGCAACCAGAAACTCACCAGTCAAGGGGACCTCGAAGCTGCGGGCATGACACTCGGAGAAGTGGCACAGATGACATTGGTCCGACCGTTCATCTTGACCTTTGCCGAGCCTGTCGCCTTTGCAAATAATCTCTTCATTGCATTCATCTACGCCGTTCTGTACTGCTTCTTTGAGGTCTACCCGCTCATCTTTGCAGAGAGGCATGGTTTCAACCCTGGAGAGCTTGGAACTGCATTCTTGGGTATCGTCGTCGGCGCCGTCATCGGAATGGGCATCTACTCAATATTCGTCATCAAGTACCTCAACCCACGTTTGAGGTCTGGCGAACACTCTCCAGAGGATCGACAAATCATCGCAATGGTTGGAGGTATCTGCTTCCCCATCTCCCTCTTCTGGATCGGATGGACAAGTTTCAGCTCCATTCACTGGATCGTGCCCATTCTAGGCAGCGGACTTTTCGGCATGTCGGTCTTTTTCCTCTTTCAAGGCATCTTGGTCTACCTAGCACAAAATTATCCCAGATACGTAGCCTCCATCTTTGCAGCCAACGACGTCATGAGGAGCGGTCTGGGAGGCGCTTTCCCACTCTTTGCGAGCCAGATGTTCTCTGCTCTCACTGTGCAGGGCGGTTGCTCGCTCTTAGGAGGCTTCTCCCTGCTCCTCACCCCTATCCCCTTCGTGCTTTACAAGTACGGCCCTCGTCTCCGTGCAGCCTCCAAGTGGGCCGGCATGTCCGAGGACGACGAGTAGACGAACGATCTGCGAGACTGGCGCGAGCTGTGGCCGCACATATTCTACCCTCAGCCCTCGTCGATGTAATTACCCCTACCTTGTGCATCATGTACCTACAATTATTGACGGACATCACACTCAATGGACGATGCTTCGCATGGGCTGTCGTGCCCTGCCTCTAGAATGACAGTTAGCAAGACTATGATTCGATCAGCAGCTTCCGACTGCAAGATCACATCACCCGTCGGCTGATAGCTCTTCGATTGGATTGCTTCTTCGTCATGACTACATCCAAAGTCTCTCAAAGGGCGCCTTGCGCGTCTAAAAGCGGTATGAAAAGCTTACAGCATAAAGCTGAGAGAGAGAGGGCGCAGGTCAGGGAGCATATCAGCACAAGCGGCCGCTTCGATCGAAGCTGTCTCATTCGAATCCCTGTCCTCACCTCAAAGGATTCTCCAGAGCGTCCTTGAACGCCTTCATCCATCTCGCTGCGGTAGCGCCATCGACGATGCGGTGGTCAGCCGAAATAGTCGCTTGCATAACGTTTGCCTTTCTCCAGCCTTGCTCGGACGAGTCATCGGGAACAATTCTAGTGTCTGTGCCTCCGATGGCGAGGATGCACGCTTGCGGAGGATTGATGATGGCTGTGAAGTGCGTGATTCCAAACATTCCCATGTTGGAGATGGTGAAGCTGCCGCCTTGGTACTCCTCCGGCTTGAGTTTGCCGTCCCGGGCCCTGGTAGCCAATGCTTTCGTCTGAGCGCTGATGCTTGCCAGACCTGTGCCACCAACATCTCGCACAATGGGGGTGATCAGACCAGTTGGGGTGGCCACGGCGATGGAGATGTCCGCCTTCTTGTAGCTCCTGATAAAGTCACCGTACCATGCTGCATTCACCTCTGGTACCTCTCGCAACGCGACGGAGGCGGCCTTGGTGATGAAATCGCCCACGCTTAGCTTAGCTTGCTTGGCCAATTGCTTGTCTCCGCCGGCCTTGGCCTGCGAAGCTGCATTGAATGCTGCTCGCAATTGAAGAACCTTGTCCATCTCAACATCGATCGACACGTAGTAGTGCGGCAGCTGCTGTTTGCTCTCGGTCAAGCGAGACGCAATCACGCGTCGCATGGAAGAAACCGGCGTGTCCTCGTAATCTGCGGAAGAAGAAGAAGGGGCAGGTGCCGGCGCTGAAGGCGCAGCAGCGCTCCTCGAAGGAGCCGAAGGAGATGTGGCGGGTGCTGCTGCTCCTGCAGCCTCTGGCTGGTAAGCCTCGACATCGGCCTTGATGATTCTGCCTTCAGGACCTGTGCCCTTGACCTTGCTCAAGGGAATGCCCTTCTCCTGTGCAATTCGCCTGGCGACTGGTGTAGCGATGACGCGCTCGCCTTCGTTTCGCACCGGCGCGGAGCCTGACGACGAGGCCGCTGGCTGAGAAGCAGGAGCCGGCTTCTCCTCCTTTGGCTCATTCTTGGGAGGTTCAGGTGCTTCTGGCTTTGACTCTTCTTTGGTCTCGCTTCTGGCCTGAGACGCGTCCTTCTCAGCCTCTGCAGCGAGTGCATCGGCACCTGAGATGTCGTCGCCTTCCTCGCCGATGATTGCGATTGGGAAATTCACAGGCACTGCTTTGCTGCCATCACCGACCTGAAGACACAGATTGGCATGTTAAGCAAGCTTGTCATGTCAGCCAAGGGTCAAACCTATGCCTCACAATGATTTTTGCCATGATTCCGTCCTCTTGCGCCTCAACATCCATCGTGGCCTTGTCTGTCTCCTGTTCGCGCAAGAACGAAGTCATCGTCAGTCGCCATCCATCTGCTGTAGATCTGATTCAGCTCGATCGCACTCACAATCTCCAGGAGCACCTCTCCAGCTGAGAAGCTCTCTCCAGGCTGCTTCTTCCAGGCTGCAATCCCTCCTTCAGTCATCGTCGGACTCATGGCGGGCATGTTGAACTTGCTCAGCGCCTCGACACGAGACGACGTGGAGAAAGCAGCCGCTCTGACGACTAAGTTGTTTGGCAAGGACAAATGAGCTACCTGGCACGCGCTGGTTCTCGTGCTCACGTCGCCGATGATCGCAGACTTACCATTACTCGAAGTCGCCACGTTCCGTGGGCTGACCAGCCCACTTGCCCGGGTGGGCAGCCTGCGCACAGCAGCCAGCATCGCAATTGAAGAGCGGGTGTCTACGCTTAAAGATGTTGAGGGATGCTTGAGCCGAGGTGCTGAGAATGACGTGGAGCACCTCAGGGCGACTCCGACTGTTGATCTAGCCTGACGCTCGTGAGCAATCGAGGAGTGAAGAGGGGCAGGGATGGCGTGTTGACGATTGGATCAAGAATCGTTGCTGACACCTGCAAATGATTTCAGTCAAGTTGCTGCCTTGAAGGTGCAGCTAGACCTTGAGCACGCATGCGACTGACTGCCCTATAGATCTTCCAACAGAAATGATGGGGTTGTCGCCAGATCCAGCAGCGTTTCGCGTCACCTACGCAGCATGCAACCCAAAATCTACACTGCGAGTACACACCCTTCGTGCTGCGTGACGCCTTGACCTTGCCGTCACGGAGCGGCGTCCGCTGCATGCATGCAGGCACCGCACACAGGACGGCGCACTTGGGTTTGGTGCATGAAGCGGCGTGTGCTCGGTCAACCGATTCCATCGCATCGCATCGTGCTAGCTGCGCGGGTAGAGCGCGCTTAGTGACCCCATCCATCGGCTAGCTGTGCCCATGGCATGACCCATGCGTATGACTCTACAACTGCTTACCGCCATACCTATTCAACGCAGAGACCACGTGGCGCGCTCCCTCAATTCCTACTTTGTCACGTGTCTCATTGAATTTCCTCTTCCACCAGCTCATGCGTGCGCGGTCTGCGCGATCATCGGGCTCTCGGCACAATGCTGCGTGCTGCTGGTGATGATGCATGGACGTCATCGTCTTTTGGCTGTGTGTCAGAGCATGTGTTATCGGACCCGAGGCCTCTTGTATACCACACCGCCTAGCTTGATTGATGACGTGCCCGCGGCAAGTGAGACCAAAGCCGCGATCAGCACCTAGCGCTTTACTCTTGATTCACGACTTGCTCTTGCGACACACACCCATCAGCAAATGCTTCTCACGCTCAGCAGCAGCAAGCTCGGCAACACGCCATTTGACTCCGAGTGAAGTCCTTCGAAAGGGCGAGGACGCTTGAGCCACCTTCTGCACCACTCTGCACATACTCACTCACTCGTGACTGATTGCACACGCGCACGAATACTCACCGACTCCTGCGCGACTTGTCGACTGTGCATCGCATCATCCTCGACATTCGTGATTATTTAGCTTCCATCTCAGTATGTTTTGAATATCCACACGCTTACTACTACGCTGCCCAGTCTCATCGTCGCGTCGCGTCGCCACGCCGCGACTGCCAAGTCCTTTCACCACCTTTGTGCACCCCGCCATCGAGGTCGAAATCAAGCTTCAACGTGTCGCTGCCTGGCGTGCAGGTGACCACTAATGTCTCCATAGATCGAACTGAAGCATCACATATCCTCTGCATCTTTCACGCCGACTTGTTGCGACCGCAACGGAAAGGCCGATAGCAGTGCGACTTGGCGTGCGAACCTTAAAGGCGCTAGCATACTGTCGACGTCTCAGGCCAGCGTCTAGTGGATGAGCGCTACGCTCGTTGATCATATAGAGAGGCATGGGCAACACACCTTCTTCGGAGCGGGAGGGACCGCCAGGCGCAGCCAACCCTCAACAAGGGGACAGACTCAGACGCTACAATGGTCTTCCTGCATATCCTTCTCAGCCTTCGGATCTGCCCGGCGGTGGCCGAGGCGCCACAACCGCGCAAGGCTCAGACGATCGATCTCCATCACCGACGCTGAGGCGCGCGAGCACCACCGGTACCCAGCCTGTCTCTCGATCTCCCCGAACATCACGCACTTCGGCATCATTGAGGCAGGCTGCAGAGCGCGCAGCTCAATTGAGTCCAACTCGTGTTCGAGCGCGAAGTGGCAGCTCGGGCGGTGTCTTGGCTGCTGCTCGGAAGCCCTCGTCGAGCACTACTACAGCCTCACAAGCTCCTGCGTTCCGTCGAAAGAAGAGCATCGAGCTCATCGATGCTGACGATACGCCAAGCAGTGGGTGAGTGACCAGCTACGTTACAATCCCGACTCATTACAGTCAGGATAGCATCGCTGATCAAGAGTCTCCGGACACCCCTCGAAGTAGGATGACGCCGTTGCGTCGAGGCCCCGGGACGCTGGTACCACCTCCCTTCGAGCCGAATCTAGTCGTGTCGCCTTATCCCAGCCCATCAGTTGCGACAGTGGCTCGTCACGCATCAGGCATGCCCTCGCATTTCAGCCCTTCACCCACGCTGGCCCCTACATACGCTGGCCAATCACTCCAGTCCTCGTCTGCTGCATTCGGAGGCGCAGTTGCTGGCGTGGATCAAAATGGCTACGTGTCAGCTCCTCAGCCGATCACTGGCATCGCTGCTTTTGCGCCCGCACATCGCAGCATCTTTCACGAGCCACATTTGGCGAGCGGTCCAGACACTGGACTTAGTCTTGGCACTGTCGCATCGACACCGGCCGGTCAATCTCCTGGAGATGCGCTTCGCCATGGCACTGGCAACACAGACCCGCTCGGTCGTCAGCTCCCTGCTGCTCTGCCTTCTTACCTCAAAATTCCGACGCTCATTCCCAGCACATATGCCAGTCCGACCGGTTCTGTCGCATC